TGGCGTGGGGGGCGCGCGCCCCCGATAGCGAAAAACCTGTCCAAAAAAAAAAAAAAAAAAAAAAAAACATTTGTTATATTGGAAAGACAAGCTTACATATGAGTCACATACCTTGCGGAGTAAGTCCCAGTGAACTGAAACTCTGCAGAATCTTCACTGTTATACACTAAAGACAACGGCAACTGAACCAACAGTCTGTCCCTTCCTTCGCGTCCTAGCGTGTCCTTCAGGACTACCGTGACCGTCTCATCATCATAAAACTGTGCGTCTAAACAACTGTAGGTGCTAGAATTGAAACGAGTCCTGTTATAGCAAAGATGATCGTGACTACTGAGAAGTGCTATGTGAATAATCTTATTTTTTTCCGCACTAAGCAGAAAAAATTGATTTACACAAGTAACGTTCTGGACAGTCACATGTAACATATGCCATGAGTCTGTACTAAAATCACAGTTACCATTAGTCGCAAATATAAACAGACCCTAAAAATGTGTGATCGTGAAAAAAGAAAAAAAAACTGTGAAGTTGGTTCAGTTCTAGAAAATTCTTGACATCAGTGGGTAGACCTTGAGCCTGTAGAAATTTCAGGAATGAAACTAAACTTAACTAAAGAGTTAGTTCTTAACTAAAGTGGAACATAACAGTAAGATTTCACACATGACAAAATATATATATATATCACTCCAAAGACTTTATCATTAAATAAACTTCTTTCAGGGGCCAACAGGTGGAGTGGTGGCTAAGGTGCTGGATTCCGACATGACTGACGACAGTTTAAGTCCCAGACCTGAGGGCTAGAAAATCAGGCTGGGCACATGTGAATGCATGCCCAAAATACTGAAAGTAGAATGAAAGAGAAGGGATCGAGATGTGGCTATGCCCCCAGGGGGATGATTTCTCACTTTTCCTCTCTCACCGTGGCAAACGTAAGCACCCTGTGGAAAAATAACTTAGAAATAAAACAAAACAAAAACACTTCTTTGACACGAGGAGAGAGATCGGCCCGTATTCTGTCAGCTCTTCCCCTGCAGCGTCTCAGGGGTGGCTCCCATTCTGTTACCCTGCTGTAGTCGTATCTGAAGAAAATCCAAGACCAGTGAGGATATTGCCCCACATTTTTTCTTATTTTTTTGGATAGTTAACTAGAACTTTAGCCTGCTAGGCCATCTGTCTCTAGGAATCACATTATTTTCTTAGCAGACAGGGGAGCTTGCAGGTATTAACTATAGCAAATCACACTACAGAGATTGAGGTTCTCTTCAATTACAGGTCAAAGCACTCTGTATAAGACACAAGAGAATCCTGTTCCCGTGTGGACGTGACGAAGCCTTTCACTTCTATCATCAGGATGCCGGGTCCAACCGCGCTCCTGCCGCAGCAGTGGCTAACCCTACACCCGGGTCAGGTCTGCATGTTTCACCCAGACAATATTCAAGACTTACCTCCTCCTGACTTTTTCAGTTGTAGCGTATGTGAAGCTCCCAAATTTAACAGCAATTAGCCCATTACTCACAGATCTTGAAGAAAGAGGGGGGAGAAAGAGACTTTGTGCATCACCCTGGATAGCCATAATCTAAATGCTTGAAAGAACTCGATTGTCCGCGTGAGCAAATTCATCTCTACACGAGATCCCAGACCAAATACCGTCACTCGCTTTAAAACGCAGACGGGGTGGCCCTTACGGTTACCAAGATAGCCGGATACTTTAACTAAGCACGTTTGGAACAGCCCAATCATTTCTCTCTGGCTAATCATAGTTTCGAATTATTTTCTTCAAATTCAGATTTAACATCATTTAAGACACAAACAGCATCCTGTGTGTGACTCATCTTCCAGAATTTTTACTCTGAATTCTCAAAACAAGTCTCTCCAGGTGAGGCCTCTTATTTAATAAAAGGCATATTTAACTCAAGGTAAGAATCCTTTCCATAAAATATCCAGGCCTACAGTTCTGAGCCTCTAAAAGCTCATGAGATACAACCCCGAGTTTTCTGCCGTCGTATTTTTCCCATCCTAGAAGACGCCTACGAACAAAGACTACATATCAACGTGAAACTCAATAGCTAGAACGAGAAGGGCTCAGACAGCCCCTAACTCGGGGTTATCGTCCAGATGTGGAAACAAATGACTGAGGGGGCCGGCAGGTGGCCCTCTCTGGTCAAATTAGAATAAAGTTAAGTAAAATAATTCTAAAAAAAAAAAGCAAAGACAGAACAGTGAGATGACAGACCTAGCATCGTGAAATACCTTAACTGAAACGTGAAATGTGGGAAGGGACGTTGTATGTTTTATTACTACAAATAATAAAATCTTATTTCTTTCATTCACGCTTCAGATTAATACTTACTGGGAAATATCAGTATGTCTCCTTAAGATACACATTTTATAAAGTGAATCTTCTAAAATAGTAAAAAGAAGATAATGCAGACTCGAAGTTTTATTATTCCAGCTAAGGAAAAAAAAAATCAATGTTATGATATTTGCTATTGACGCATAGAACAATATTGTACTGTTTCCAAAAAATGCAAGAAATACACACTTACAGAAATGGAAATTTGAACAATCTACGGGTAGAGTCCTCACTGAAACAAAAAGGACAAAATGTGAGAAAAATTTAAAT